AAACTATATATGAATATATGATATAATAAATTCTTTTTTTTTTCACCATCACATTTTTTATATCTTTTTATTTACTATATATGAATATATGATATAATAAATTCTTTTTTTTTTCACCATCACATTTTTTATATCTTATTATTTTCTTATAAATGATTAGATAATTACATTTAATATTCTATACATGCTAGATAAATTTTAAAAAAATAATATGGGATTTTTAGTTTATTTTTCATGGCATAGTCAAAAATATTTTTTAAATATTTTTTATTTTTTATGATATTATTAAAATTTTAAAAAATAATTTATTTTTTAGAAATTCACAAAACTATTTTCTAAAAAAAAAACTATTTTTCACAAACGATCGCTTCTTTTATTTGTTAAAACCAACATGGTTGCAATTGGAAGAGCTCAAATTAACAATACGAGTCCGAGATCATACTAATTATTCTTTGAAATATCTTAAGTTTAATAGTAATTCAAATTAAAAATAAAATAGACTTTTTTTACCTTATATTTTGTCTATATGTCTCCAGCAACAAGCTAGAAGGGATGGTGTGGACGAGACAGGTCAAAACAAACGAAGGAAAAAAAAAGAGCCCAGACCATGGCTTCAGTCGAGAATGATGATAGAGTGAAGTACGGAATCGTGGGAGTGGGAATGATGGGGAGAGAACACCTCATCAATCTCTACCATCTTCGCAGTCAAAACGTTAGCGTTGTTGCCATAGCTGATCCTCATGTTCCCTCCCAACAACTAGCTGTTGAATTAGCCCAATCATTTGGTTGGCATCTCGAGGTATTAAAATCAATGATTACACCTCATCTGTCAACTAATGCTAATTATCACCCTCCTTTCCTTTGGACTAACATTGAAGTGACTTGAATTGAAGGTATTTTCAGGGCACCGAGAGTTACTGGACAGCGGACTTTGTGATGTGGTGGTTGTGTCCAGTCCAAACATGACTCATTACCGAATCCTCATGGATATTATTAACCACCCAAAGCCCCATCATGTTCTTGTGGAGAAGCCGTTGTGCACCACTGTTGCTGACTGCAAGAAGGTAGTTGATGCTGCTAGAAGGAGGACAGACATGCTCGTGCAAGTTGGACTGGAGTATAGATACATGCCACCGGTTGCTAAATTGATTGAAGTTGTAAGGGGTGGAGCTGTTGGGCAAGTGAAAATGGTGGCAATCAGAGAACATCGGTTTCCTTTCCTGGTTAAGGTAAATTAGGCAACTAGTTTTTTGAAGTTACTGTTGTAGTAATTTAGTGTTTCTGACTACTGATTTTGATTAGGTTGACAATTGGAACCGGTTCAATGCTAACACAGGGGGGACTCTGGTGGAGAAGTGCTGCCATTTCTTTGATTTGATTAAGCTGTTCGCGGGTGCGAATCCTGTTCGAGTTATGGCTTCTGGTGCTATAGATGTTAATCACAAGGATGAAGTATATGATGGGAAGGTAAGTTCATGTTGGTGGTAATTTGATAAAGATATCATAATTCATATGCCATATTTGGATAGAAAGTTGCAATGCTATTTATGGATCTATGTTTTATGGGAATTTATAATGCTGCCGGACTTAGACATGCAATTCAATCGAGCTCTCTTTTAAATTTTTTATTCAAATGCGTAAGCAATCTCCTTCAGTATATTAACCTTTTTTAAATGAGAGTTCAAGTCTAACATGGAGTGGAACTTAGTCTTAGACCTGGGCTTCGGTGGCTGACAGGTAAGAGCTTTAACCATGACATGATTACACAATTCGCTAATTTTGCATTTTTGGAGCACTTGGAAGTTGGCAGTATGAAGCTGGATTTGCTCAGTGCATGTGTCTCGTTTGCGAAAATCCAGGAGTTATATTTGAGCTAATTCCATAATCCGTATTAAATTTTATGTTTTCTGCTGTTTTATGATGCTTAAGAATTATATTGCAATGGTGGCTGATCTCTCCAGCGCATTTATTTACAATAAAAGAAACATGAATTTCATGCTGTTTACATTGAAGATATCCAAGTCATTTGACAAGCATTTTGACTTGTTAGCTATGCCCTTGAGGCCAATAAACTTGGCAGTGTACAGCAGAGATTCATTACGAAAAGTCCTGGTTAGCCACTGAAGGGTAATGGCTGCATGATTATGGTCTATGGGCTCAGTTATGCCGTAACATTTACAGCTTACATTTTCAATTAGCACAGTTTCATGATTTACTCTCATAGATGAGGCTTGGAAATAGATCTATGGTCACATTCAGCTACAAAATGCTGAAAATGTAATTGCTTGTGCTTTGATTGTCCATTTGATTAGGACTAGTTGGTCAAACGGGATCCTGTCTGAATATTGCTGACTGAAGGAGGAAGGGCTTTTCTGGATTTGCATACCTGAAATGATGTTGGAATTGAAGAGAGACTTTCTATACGCATATCTGTAATTAAATAGGGATTGCTTTTTATCGTCAGATCATGTTTGCTAGTTTTTCAGCTATTTTTGCTAGATCATTGAATTCTATCTAAATGAATTGACTGTTCTATCTATGAGTGAGTAAAAGCTCGAATCCAGGCACATAGCTTTTTTGGTTTGGTGATTATTGACAGTTCGAGCTCTGCAACGCTTGATCTTTCCTTTCACGGGATTTAATTCCTTAAAACCTTTGGAGCTGTGAATAACCCCGTGTTCCATTGATAACCTTGCTGTGGTTCAGGTACCAGATATCATTGACAATGCATATGTTATTGTTGAGTTTGACAATGGTTCCCGCGGGATGCTTGACCTTTGCATGTTTGCTGAAGGCAGTAAAAATGAGCAAGAAATATCTGTTGTTGGTGATATAGGAAAGGTACTTCTGCATGCACACATATGCTTTAGCTTTATTCATGCAAGAGAATGCTGATCCGGCACGCGCGCTCGCGCGCACACATATATATTTGCATTCACCATCTCCCTCATCTATAGGCAGTCACCTCTTTTGCTGCTTCATAATGTTTGGAAGATTCCATTATAAATGACTTATTCAACTGTATTGTCGTTTTAATTTTAACATCCAACAGTTCCATTTTCTTGTATTTCCAGCATGCTGCTCCATTCTTGGGCATGTATGCAAGTCCTTCCACTCATTTTTTTCTAACTCTGTTTGTTACAGGGGGAGGCCTTTGTCCCAGAGGGTTTAGTGCGTTTTGGTACTCGCGTGGCAGGAAGGGATGGTGTACAAACATTGAAAGCTGAGGATCGCCGAATTAAGTGAGTTTCCTCGAAGTCTATATGTGAAAATGCTTTGGATTATTATCTACGAATGTATCAGGCTTCTTTTCAGTGTGTTTCTAAATGAACTTGTTTTTCAGATATGATGGGCTGCATCATGGATCCAGCTATTTGGAACACCTTACCTTCTTGTCTGCAGTTCGAGCAAAAGGTGAAAAAGCTCCTGCAGTGGATTTGCAAGATGGGTTGATTTCAGTTGCTATTGGAGTTGCTGCACAGCTTTCCATTGAGAAAGGTCAATTTGTCACAATTCAGGAAGTCATGGATGAACATTACGGCTAAGCCAAGATTGTCATTTAACATGGCACGGAAAATGCAATGTAAATTTGAAATTTGGATTGTAAAATTATAACTAAAATTTTTAACTAATTATATAGATAATTTTAGCCAAGTAATAAATAACAATATGACACAATTCAAACAAAAATAAAATAAACAATACAAAAGTTCAAGCATTTTAAAATATATATTTCAACTAAAAATTTATAATTTAACTTAAAAATCCTTAATTTTACTAAGTAACTAATATTGTCTTCATCATCCCGACTATTTCTAGGACATTCATGGGGATAAAAAAACTGTCTACCAAGACCTTTCCAGTCGTTTGATACAGGGGCGGCCTACAAACTACATCAGAGATACTAACGGTCCAATGAGAGCAAGAAGCACCCAACTATTTGAGGATTTCAATCATAATATCTCGTTGCAAGCTTCAACCAAATGATGTTTACTGGTTGGCAGTGCATGGCCTCAAGAAAAAGGGACGGTGAAAAGATTCATAATACAAATAAGATGAAAAAAAAGGTCATAGCCAGAAGACTCTGAGCTTTGATCGTTCTTATTCATTATAAGGTTCAATATCTTGAGATAAGATGAATGCCTAATCCAGACTAGAAACATAGCTTGATGAACGGATATGAAAATCAAAATTTGAAATAGTTTGAGAACGTCCTCAATCTAATAAACAGATAATTAACTGTTACCACTAAAGAAAAACAACTAATTCATGTGTTCATTGGATAAATTAAAAATCCCCTTTTATACAGAATCTTCAATTGTTCTTTCATCTTTCTGTTTTCCTATAAATTTCATAAAACTAAAAGGAAAATTGAGAGATTGAAACCTGAAATAGCGACCCGTTCTTGAGTTCCAATTGAGACCCTCATTGTTCTCTATGAATTGTTTGTGCATTTCAAGCTCTAGGCCAGAGATACTTTTTGTAAACTTCATGCATCCATGTTCTCATCTTCTAAAAATGGCTGGCTGCCGCCGATTGGCAGTACATTACGGCTAAATAATCATAATCATCACACGTGAAATACATGGAGATTATTATTATTATTTTTTTTTTATTGTTGTTGCCCGCAAAGTTCCAAGTATTTACATCTAAATTTCAGTTGGGCTTGCAATTCAGTTATGGGCTTATTTTCCCATGGCCCTGGGCAACGTTGCGCATGGCCTTAGCCTCTCCCGTCCATGTTTCTCCAATTCGAAATAAACAGAAAGGAAAGATAGTGCCTAGGAAGAGAACGGCAGGCAAAGTTCCAATTTAATTTTTAATTTATTTTAAAATTATTTTGATATAGTGATATAAAAATAATTTTGTAAAATAAAAAAATATTATTTTAATATATTTCAAAAAATAAAAAACACTTTAATTCCTTATATTCAAACACTATCTTAAACAGAGCGTGCATCCCCGCTTCAAAGAGCACTTGTATAAATAGCGCCCGCGTTGGCGCGCATTTGTCAACACTTGACTCACCCACGTCGACGCAAAATGGAAGACGATACGGGAGTGAAATCGAGCATTGTGATCGGCCTCAGAGAGAACAGAACCAAAGAGGTATGACGCGCTCTCCGTTTGTTTCTCACTATTTCTGTAAAATTAGTGAAACTTTTAGCAGCTATAACTGTAAAATTCACTATTTCGCATACATGCATTTGTTTACACCAGAATCTGAACAAAGATAACAGTATTAAAATTTGAATTTTTTTTTTTTTTGATTCATTTCATGTCCTCTCCGATTTAATTAGCACAAGAACTGATGGAAGAAATCTCAGTTCCTTAATGGCTTGTTGAATCTTAGATGTGAAATTCCTTTCCTGATGTTTTTATAGATCCTTATATTTTTTTAATTCGTAAAAAATAAAAAAACTCTATAAAAAAATAGCTTATTAATCTTGGATCTAGACTTCTAGTTCCTAACATTTGATAATTCTCGAGCTTCTAGAATTATAAATCCTCTCTTTTTTTTAAACGTGATTAACTGAAAGTTTCAAATCAATAAGATAAAAAGATTCATGATGTATATAAAATATAATCTTAGAGGCTCGAACTGAATGTTTTAATTATGAGAAATTAATTGTTTCTTTCAATATTTGGCCATGTAAAGATCACTCAAAAGTTGCTGGTAATCTGATAAATGAAAATTGAAATGGAAAGATTTTAAAAAATCTGAATTTGTTTCATGCGCTAAATAAGTTGATATTGTGAGACTGGCAGGTTGGAATGGCTGGTTTTGATTTAAGGTTAGCCTCACTGCATCTTTCTCAGTATAGTGAAACTAGCAGCTCGTATCAGAATACAAAATCTTTGCTCCAATTTTATGATCCTGTGGTCGTCGTTGTTCCTCCTAATAAATATGCACCTGATGGTATGGTCGGAATTTCAGAGCTGGTAGATCAATTTTATGCTTCAGTCAATAAAGTCAACCTCTTTAACAACTTGGAAATTTTTCATGCTGCTTCCTTTATCTCTGTTCATGCATCGATTTCATGGTATTATGTGCTGAATTTTGTAGGTTCTAATGGCCCGTGGTTGCTTTGATGACACCAAGGTTGTAGCTGGGAAACATCTCATTCTGTAACTGGTGTTTTACTTCTTGGTACTGGTGCTTGAATATTTGACCCACTGCCTTTGTCATATAATGTTCCAGCGTGGTGTACTGGTTAAAAATCTAGCAGCCAAAGAGCCTTCAGCTCATGGTTTGGATGCTTACTACAAGCAATATTATCCCTGCTTAATCTGCTGCCGCAGCTACAATCAAGTGGTACTCTCAGAACTTTGGCTTGCCTCAAATTTTTCTGGAGGAAAAGATTTCAATCTTAGATTTAGTTTGCACGCCACAATGCCATACTGGAGGTTAAATCTTAAGTAATTAGTCATTAACTACTCAAATCAGGTAAAAGTCTTCTCGGCAGTTTGGTTAAATATCAAATAAGTGAGTGTTGTTATGTTGAAATTTTTATTTTTTAGAACCAAGTTTTTTTAAAAAGCTAAAGAAACTGTACTGTTTCATGAATTTTATCCATACAACAGCGTAGCGTCTCTTTGTAGGTGATGCCTGTTAACAGTTTAACTTGTTCCACAAGGAGGCTTATTTTTATTAAATAAGCAGCCTGATAACTGCTATATTTTCATTGATCATATGTTAACTGGTGGCATTGGCATATTCACATTCCAATGCATCCCTTCCAGCCGAATAGTTGAAACTTATTTGCATATAAGTTATAGAGTGGCCATCATGTATCCATAGCCACAGTGGTGTTGCACGTAGAGAGGAGACCAAATATTACAAGTTGGATGACACTGGACTCATGCTAAAGCTTTTCAACTTTTCCTCGTTGAAGCGAATTACTCTTGAATCCATTCGAAAAAAATGACATATTTTACTGGATTTCGGAGTGAAGATGGGAAAAAATCTCCCAGGTTTGCAGATCCAAGTGGCAATCTTGTTACCAAATTGCAAGTATCTGCTTTTGAAAATACTTTACCTGACTAGGCATAGATACTTCATGCCCAGTAAGTCAGGCAAATTGCACGTATTGGACCTGTGTGAGGTGGATCTATTTTTTGAAGATTAATAGATTGTAACATGTTTTATTGTCTTCGAAATTCACCTTGAACATTATGGTTTTAGCCCTGGATTATGCACTCCATGTTTCTTCAAGCCCTTTTCACCTTATAAAATCATTATACTGACCACATTAGTCATTTTACGTTTGCCTTAAGTTACTGAATACTAATATGCATTTGTTTACACCTTACAGTTACAGTATTTTCATATTCTTCATCCATTATTCTGCTTCTAAAAGAAAGTTTGAACTGCAACATACACAGGAGAGAAGCAGAGAAACGAGTCATCGTCACAAACCACCCATTGTTGGTATTTATGCTCTCTCTCTCTCAGGACCTTCTTTCTCTTGCGAAATGCATGCATGTCCAAGACGCCCATTTCTAAGAAATAGGTGCATTTTCTTGATTATGAAATTATTGGCATCATGTTTATCTGGTTCCAAATATGGTTACACAGAAGCAATGGGAACCAGGTCTCTTTAAAACCATGTATACATCTGTGAAAATCTTGGCAGTCTCAGAAGATATTTTAGAACCATGATGACAGAACCTTTACATGCATATAAATGGATGTTGGAAGATAAGTACCTTTTAGTTTTCTTGGTTCTGGCTAGGGTGTCATACTTTTTCTTGGTACTGGCAAGGACATCATAGCTCCACTAGGGTGAAAAAAATGAAATTTCACTAAAGAGTCGAACAGAAACACACCATACATAAACACGAGTTGAATATACAACACAGCTTGCAACTTCTAATGCACCAAGAACACTTTCCAAGATTTCCAATATCCAAAATTTTCAACTCAATGAGCACAATGTCCTCCAAAAAATCCAATAATTGACAACACAAAACAGCCACATCACTGGACTCAACGGTATCGACGAAGGGAGAGGGTGTTGTTTCTCTTCCAGTTTGCCCGCCGAGAAGGTCGAGCTTTGTGGTGCAAGTGTCCCCTGCCACGCAGACCCCTGTATTTCTTCCCGGCAGAGGTAAGGCCACGGAGCTCCCTATGCTTGTGCACAGGGTTGCAGAGCCAGTTGATTCTTGGGTCATTCCGGATTGCATTGTGGGCAACATCAACCAAGATTACCTCAAAGTACTTGTAAGTAGAGTCCTGCGTTAAAGAAAATGCATTACTAATGCAAGTCAATGAATAACAGTAAGAAGGTCCGATTCTTAGGTAGCCAGTCTACACGTGGCATAATGACCAGTGAAATGAGACAGATGCAAACTCAGACTTGGCTGACTAACCTCATTAATCCAGTATGAATTGAGAACCCTGAGGCCCCCCAATTTCCGGCCAGCACGCTCCTCTGCCACAGATCTCTTGCTACGTTGAAACTTGAGTTGAGTAACACCCTGGTTTGTGGGCTTACCATATACAATACCCTTGGGAACAGGCCTCTTCCTACCACCTCGCCTAACACGTACACGATAAACAACATATCCCTAAAAATGATCAATTTTTCAGCATCCATGCAGATTTAAAAGCACTACACAATTGTGTGAAAAAAAAAAAGGTCAGGAATAGAAACTTTACTAGCTTGGTTCAACAATGACATTACTGATCTCCATTTTTATAACTTCCAATGTTATAAAAATTCACCTAACTATCAAAAACACAAATTCCTAGTAGCCTATTAGAAGACAAACTGAATGCTTGGACATAAAAAGTAAAGTGAAAATCCAACTTACTAATTTCACATCCAAACAGTTTCTTCCCGGTTCAACTAGATGATAAAATTGAATACATCAATAACAACAAATTCCAAAAAAGAACCACAAGAACAGTATCAGATCGAGAAAAAAACGAGTCCAACAAGGCGTGAGCCCATTTGGTCGGATGATCGATTATTTTGATATCACTGGTCTCAAGAAGCGCTCCATCATTGTATGCATGGACCCTCCTAGGGAAGAATGAATACGCATCAAGACGCTGCTTAGCCAGGAGGAATCTCAAAATGCATGCATTAACTAGGGAATGGCAACATTTACATGATCACAGGTTGGTTATGTCCATTCATAGTGACTCAGAACTACACACATCAGCCAAAACAAACTATGCCCTCCAGACTTAGTGCAATAGTCGTCAGATACAGAAAAGCCGAGAACTTGTACGAGAACAAAAAAGTGGAACCAACAAAGAGAGAAATACTTAAAAATACTTCTCACTCCACACATTTCAGATGAAATGACCCTAAAAGTAATCCACAAAACAAAACATTAAAGCGCTTGAAACTCAATCAGTTAACAAAACACAACAAGAAAGACTACTTGTAGAGCTTACGTGTAACTGAAGCTCATAACGTAGCAAACGAAAGCTGAAAATTGAAATAGCAGTAAATGATGCAACTGAGAACTCAGAAACACATGACCCGTGCTAAAAATGGCAATCAAAGTGCTACCTGCTTGGCCTTATAGCCCAAGCGGCGAGCCTTGTCAGGGCGTGTGGGGTGCGTGACACGAACAATTGAAGGATGCTGGCGGTACTCCCAACACCTAACCCTTTGCAAAAACCTCATCACATCTGATTGTTTCTTCCTCCATAGCTCAGAAACGTACTTGTAAGCCCCTATTTTCATCAAACCCACCAAAAAAATAAAATTACACTCTTCACAGCATACTTAAAAATTCACTAGATTGAGAATTTAACAATAGCGTACTATTTATTTTCTTTGAAAATGAATTTATGAGAAGTGCATGTAGCAGAGTTCGCATAAAATCCTTGTCAAAACCAAGTAGGAAACTACATAGACAAGAAAGAAATATAAAATCTGGTCTATGGTAATACCTAAAGAAGTTGGCAGATTATAATATAAGAAAAGAGAGAGAGAGAGAGAGAGATTTGAGATATTAATAGGTGGAAAGAAAGAATGTTGGCTCAGACAGAGAGAGAAAGAGAGAGAGAGAGTACCCATTAAATCAGAGCAGCAGTGGTGCCTGATTGGTGACTAGGGTTTTCAGTTTACACGCTAAAAAGAGAGAAGGCTTGGGTCAGCAAAGAAAACAGAACCCTGGTATCGAATAATGGAGAAACGAAATCTCGGCCGTTCATTTATCTTATGGGAGCGTTACTTGTTTGGACCGAGGTCGTTCGTTTTGTTTTGCTTAGGTGCTTGGGCTATGAGAATATGGGCCTCCAAAGTTTCAATTTCCAAATACTACCCTTTGAAAATCTTGCTTTCATCACCATTTCCCAAGTAGTTAGATGGACGTGTACGGTAAAATGCAAGGTTAAATTTATTTTTGATATTATGGTTGTTTTTATGGTTATAATTTAAAAAAATAAATTAAAAAATCATTTTTTTATTATGGTGGGTTGAATTAAAATATATATTTGGTTTAAAATACTGTTAAAATTATTATTATATAAAAAATAATTAAAATGTATTTAGTTAAAATTGTTGTTGAAAATATTATTACTAATAAAATAACTAAAACAGAGAGATAATAATTTTATAGTTTTGAATTATATTACTGTACTCTAGATTATTAATAAATTATTAATACAGCAATGCTACATTAAAATTTTATTTTTATTGTTCCATTAATTGCCTTTTTGTTAAAGATTTTGCTAAAGTATAGTAAATTATTTATTAAAAGCTCATTCCGGCATGTGTATTGTCAATGGTTCTCTCTTTTTTTTTGGGTCGGCTAAGACAAATTAAAAGAGAGGTAAAGGTTAAGTTATTTTGGTCTCACTGTATTTTCAATGGTTCTTTCTCTGTTTTGAAAAAAATAAGCTTGCAAAGATAAACTAAAAACTGTGATCAGAACTCAGGAAAAACAAATTAAAGTTGTTTCATAATAACTGAGGTCAGATCCCAGTTATTGATGGATGTACTATTTAAACCACAACTTCTTATAATGAACCAAAGACTATATTTTCATGGTTGAGAAAAATAAACAAACGCAAACTCATTTCCGAACGGGCTCGCAAGGCAGATTGATTATCCATTGGATTGTTTCACTCTTATCGAGTCCTGTAAACATAGAGCACGGATGAACGCTAATTCCCAAACTTCTTTGTTTTGGTTATGATCATCCAGCTGATGATCACTGCTCAAGAAATCCCTTGATTTCATTGCATTGATTATTGGAGGAAATTGTTTTTCCAAATTTGAATTGTTCATTTAATTTAGTATTGTCATTTTTATTTTCCCACAAGGCAACGAGACCCCTTTTTCGTTAGAAAAGGAGGCCCAGTTTTTAATCGAGGAAAGAAGAATCCGTATTCGTGGAAGAGCCTGCTGAGAGCACAAGTAAAGTTAGGGAGCTATTTCAAAAACACAGCGAGAAGTTCATCCTATCATCTACTTTCGAGGAGCAAGATACACTAAAAAGGAAGAGAGAAAAAACCAGAGAGAAGTGGATGAAAAGATTGATAAGAACTACAGCAGCGGTTGTAAGTTTAAATGATAGCAAAAATAAAGAGCAGAAAAATACAAAATGAATAAAAAGTCAACTAAAAAGAGGATGAAATTGGAAGGAATTTGGTTTTGTTTAGTTACATACACTTAAGAATGGAGTGGAAGAACTCAAAATTATGAGTTGGTTGTTACAATTTCACAAGCCATAGTTGACAGTTGTATCTCCCATTTTGATATTTAAAAGCATTTTATTCGATGTACAATCGCTCACTCGCTGGGCAGACTTCCACATATTTCCACCTTTTTCGAGAGAGGTTCCATCAGCAGCAGCTAATACAGCTCCACCTTGCTCCAGTAACAGGAAGACAGCAGCTCCCACTGCTTTCATTTTCCTTAAAAACAGGACCGCATGGAATCTAAAAGGACAATCTTCCCTTATCTATGCTTCCGGTCCTTATCTCTTCTTGAATGCTTAACATCCTCCTCCCACTCTGCTGGAGGAGGAGGTGATGGCTCATACCTAGAGGGTTTCCTCTTGAAGTGCCTGTCATCATCACTGGACTCGTAGTCCATGGTGGCCGTGGCAGCAACACTGCTACTGCTCTTTCTGGTCTTCACAGAAGATGACTTGTAGTCATCATAATAGCCATTATTAACTGGTGACGATGACTTGTGATGTTTAGAAGACAAAGGGCTACCACCACCAGTAGCTGCTGGTGCTGCTTCACTAGAGGATGATACCTTGCGCTTCTTACTGGTGGGTTCTCCTTCTGCTGGAAAGCTAATGCGAGAGAACACACTGACCTTTTGCTTGCGGTCTGTTACTGTTGTAGAAGGGGGTTTAGTGGTAGTCTCAGATACAGCTTTGGATGAGGATTCTGAACGGTGGCGGTGGCGGTGGTCACGGTCCCGCTCACGGTAATCAAAGTCATCAGCATCTCTATCACCGTGTTCATGGCGGTCTGACTTTCTTTTAGAAGGGCGTGGTGGTAATGGGTCAATCTCACGGGCTGAACGCTCCGGTGATAATCTCTCAGACCTTCGACGATGATGACGGGGATCGCTGCTGGCACTGGATTGTGGTATTGACTTCTTCACCAACAGACAAGGAATAACTATTAGAATATCGCCTCTCTTTCATTTCATTTTTGGTATTAAGATATAAGAAAAAACAACTCCTGGTTAGTTTTTAATATTCTTCTTCTTTTTCATTATTAATGATACATGCAGTGCT